GTTAGAGTCAAAGGTGAAGAGCTACAACTCCCATCATCCCTGACAATACGCATATCTTATATTTTTAATGTTGCATCCTCCTATCTTAACTCCTCATTTTTCTGATTCTAATTATGCTTTTCTTATGATGTTTTAGCATATAAGTTAAACAAGTAGGGTGATAGGATTCAGCCTTGTCTGACCCCTTTGCCTAGTAGGAACCACTCTGTTTCCTCAAATTCTGTTCTGACAGTGGCCTCTTGTCCTTGATATATATATTCCTCATCAGGACTATCAGATGTAGTGGCACCCCCATGTCTTTGAGTGCATTCCATACCTTTTCATGATCTATACAATCAGACACTTTGCTGTAGTCTATGAAACATGTGCTGATTCTTTTTTGGAATTCTTTGGTGTGCTCCATTAGCCATCATATGTTTGCAGTGTGGTCCCTAGTGCCCCTTCCTTTTCTGAATTCTGAAAAATGTCCACTTTTGCTACTATATTTGAGTTTGCTATTTATAACTTTTTGATAGTTAGTAAAGGGATTATCCTCTGTGTTCTATTTTTAAAAAAATGATCTAGAGGACCAAAGTGGTGGCAAACAAGTCAATTAGTTTTAAAACATTCTTGTTCTGGTCTTTTTCATGACAAAATCATTAATTATCTTCTTCAAGTCAATTTCTCTTGCACGTTCACACTCAATATACAAGATATTTTGCTCCACTGTACACCACTAGTTTTTTTTATAAGTACTTGCTTGGTAACACTTCTTTCAGTTTCTGTTACAATCACTGGCAGTGAGCAGAAAATGCAAAGGGTAATACATATTTCTCTGATAATTAGTTGAAGCTTTTTCCTTTAAAAGCCATATACTAATATAAGCAGGGGCTGTTCTAATTCTTGTGCAAAAAGAAGCTTGGGTTGTTTTTTTTTCTCCAATTGCAACATTGTGCAAGGAAAAAAAAACATCAGAAATATCTGTGGGATACTATGAACTGTTTTACTATATTTTAAGGTCCAGTAGAATGCATACCAAATATTATAGGTTGCTTGCAATTTGTGCTCTTAGGCATATGTGGCCCTTTCCAAAAGTATATCAAAGCTGTGACTCAGTAATTAAACACTTATAGGAGGGAAACAGCAGAACCATTTCCTGCTGTCTTATGGTGATAGGCTCTGCTCTTCCCAACCTCTTGCCTGCCTATGCATATCAGGGACATGTAGTTTTTGATGTGATAGATAATGTTGAGTAGAGGAAAACAAATATATCTGTTTCTCTGCTTCACACAGTCCACATTTAACTGGACAAGTACATTCTGTCTTTTCTAGCTAAGGACTTTACACTGCAGTCAGGCCAAGATGTACAAGAATTTAGAAAACTGCTTCTGATTTACCTAACAGGTTCTGATTGGCTACAGTCAATCAGCAAAAGAGTATATAGGTTCTGATTGGCTACAGTCAATCAGCAAAAGAGTATATACACTATGCAATTATAGCAATTTTATTCTGCTTTAATTTGAACCCAATAGAATCCTGGAGAAGGAGGAGTGAAAATAGGAGGAAGGAATATCAACAATCTAAGGGCCAGCACAGACCAACCCTAAAAGCTGGCTTCCTGGTGGCTTGGGGCATGACATTTAGATGCCAAATGCCCCTAAGATGTCTTGAAGCCACCCAGTCAATCAAATGGCAGATTCAAAACATCTTGGGGGTATGGCGTTTAGAGGCCACATAGCCTGAAGCCACTCTGGAGCTGCTGTGGGGCACCTTAAACCCAGCCCAAATAGGATCGAATCTTTTCTGCTCCTATTTGGGTCAGATTCCTGGTAGATTTGGACTGTGCCATGTGCTTGCCACAGCCCATGACATCTTGGGTGGGGCAGCTTCAAGCCCATCTGTTCTTCCCCTTAGATATGCAGATGACACCATAATACTAGCAGAAAACCTCCAAAACCTGGGAAAATTACTAAGGAAGATCAAGGAAGAAAGTGCAAAGGCAGGCTTAATGTTGAACACAAAGAAAGCAAAAATAATGACCACAGAGAATCTACACAAATTCATTCTAGACAATGAAAAAATAAGAGTGCTCATAACTGGGATCAAACATTGATAGGAATGGGGACTGCACCCATAGAATCATAGAGTTGGAAGAGACCACAAGGGCCATCCAGTCCAACCCCCCCGCCATGCAGGAACTCAAAATCAAAGCATCCCCAACAGATGGCCATCCAGCCTCTGCTTAAACATTTCCAAGGAAGGAGACTCCACCATACTCCGAGGGAGTGTGTTCCACTGTCAAACAGCCCTTACTGTCAGGAAGTTCCTCCTAATGTTGAGGTGGAATCTCTTTTCCTGGAGCTTGCATCCATTCTTCCGAGTCCTATTCTCTCGAGCAGTAGAAAACAAGCTTGTTCCCTCCTCAATATGGCATCCCTTCAAATATTTAAACCAGGAATTCAAAAGAAGTCAAGAATGGGGAGAGCAGCTATGAAAAAACTAGAAAAGTTCCTAAAATGCAAAGATATGCAACTGAGCACAAAAGGTATAATCATACCATCGTATTCCCTATTGCCATGTATGGATGTGAAAACTGCACAGTTAAGAAAGAAGATAGTAATACATTCAATTTATTTGAAATGTGATGCTGGAGAAGAGTACTGAGGATCCTGTGGACAGCCAAAAAGAGAAGCAAATGGGTCCTAGAACAGATCAAGCCAGAAATCTGGAAGCCAAGGTGACAAAGTTGAGGCTGACATACTTTGGACACATCATTAGAAGGAACAACTCATTAGAAAAACAATAATGCTAGGAAAGGTGGAGGGGAGTAGAAAGAGAGAAAGGCTGCATGCTAGATGGACAGACTCTATTAAGGCGGTCACAGGCCTGAATTTGCAGGAACTAAGCAGAGCAGTGGAGGTTAGGGAGTCTTGGAGATGTCTCATCTACAGGGTCGCCATCAGTTGAGAATGATTTGAGGGTGGTTAACAGTAACAACAAAAGAATTCTGGGATTTGCAGTTTGTTCTGATAAATGCAATTCACACATAACACACTATAACGCATATAACACACTAGTGCTTAAGTTTGGTGTAAGTACATCACCAAACTTAAAAACCCCAAGATTCTGTATGATGGAGCCATAGCAGTTAAATGGGATCATACTGCTTTGACTCTCTAATGCCTCACATTTCTTAAAGACTGTATTGATGTAATGCACTGGTTATACTGATTCTAATGTGGATTTAGTAGATTCTTATTTGGTAGGGAGCAAGCATGGTATAGCGGTTTAAATGTTGTACTATAACTTTGGAGACCAGAGTTCGATTCCCAGTTCTGCCATGAAACCACTGGGGGACCTTGCTCTCAGCCTCAAGGGAAGGCAATGGCAAACCTCCTCTGAACAAATCTTTCCAAGAAAACCCCATGATAAGTTTGCCTTAGGGTCACCATAAATTGGGGGGGGGGGGGACTAGAAGGCACACAACAACAAATATTTAGTGAATACAGATTATTAACAGAAATGTGTCTTCTCATGAAAAAAAGGGTGTTCTGTTCTTGTGGCAATATAATTGACTTCCCCAATATAATGTGAGTTCCCCAAGGATGAAACCACTGTGGAATCTTCCAGCATTAATACATCAGTCATCATTATAAAAGGGATGTTGTAGCTCAAGTGGTTGAGATGTTGACTCTGTTACTTGCAAGATCGGCAGGTTGGCAGTTCGAGACCCAGGTGCCGCGTGATGGGGTAAACTCCTGTCACTAGTCCCAGCTTCTGCCAACCTAACAGTTCAAAAGCATGCAAATGCAGGTAGATAAATAGGTACCACTTCAGTGGGAAGGTAAACAGCATTCTATGCAATCATGCTGGCCACATGATCACAAAGTAATCTCTGATAACACTGACTCTTCGGCTTAGTAATGGAGATGAGCAGTGCCCCCTATGGTCAGACACAACAGCCTTATCAACGGGGAATACCTTTAGCTTTTTACATCCTCATAAAGGTCTACTGCTGGGGATGTGCAAACTCTAGGCCTAAGCAGACTGCCAGAAATAGTGCACATTAAATTGAGGCACTGCCCTGGCTCAGTGCTAGGGAGTCATGGGAATTGTATTTTTTTCTGGGACATTGAGCCTTCTCTGTCAGAGAGCTCTGGTGCCACAATAAATTACTGTTCCTATGATTCCCTAGCACTGAGCCAGGGCAGTGCCTCAATTTAATGTGCACTATTTCTGGCAGTCTGCTTAGGCCCTCTATTATGCAAGAGCACATCCCATGACAGTTACTGTGTTAAACTCATGGTGAAGTGTTAATATGAATGTACCCTTAATTTAGCAATTTTCCCAGAGGAAAAGAAATTACCAAAGAAATTTGGTACATTCTCCCCCCCCAAAAAAAAAACAATAACCCTATTTTCATCACTTTTCACCTAGGCTAAAAGTGATGAAAAATATTGCCAAAAGCAATGGAATATTGTTTCATCACTTTCAGCCTTGAAAACTTTATAACAGTTGCTATTTAGTCTGAAAGAAATCAAGGACAAAGTAGTATTTTAAAATTGTTAGTCTGAATAATCCAGAATAATCCACAATTTTCCTTTTTCAGCATTTTTATGTTTACTCTCCCATCACCATGGCAAGCATCTTTACTGCTTTTTTATGTGAAACACTACCCTTTACTCATTAATTGGAAGATTGGGCTATATTTCAGCCTAAACATAAACAAATCAATTATTTCTTTACATTTTCCAAGGAGTTCTAAGAGCTGAATGTGATTGTTGGCCCTCCATTTTAATCTTCACCACATGGAGAGAGCATGACAAGTCCAAGGTTGCCCAGTGAGTTTCATGCAGGGATTTGACTAGCAGCTCTGCAGTCCTTGCCCTAAACTTTAATCCATCCTTCTCCAGTCTGATATCCTCCCACACCACTGATTGTGTAGCTGAACTTGAACAGAGGTGCAGTCCAAAACATCTACAAGGCACCAGATTGGTCTCTACCAATGCCTTGCATGCTGTTTAGAAAAGAACTGTCATTTTCTTGATTCCAACTTGCATCACTGTCTATATTATTTTTTCAAAAAAAGCAATAGGTAATGGCAATGAAATGTTGTTTTGAAGTGTTGACTTTTCATATATGGCAGATACCTCCATATATGCAATGATGACTGCATATATTTTTACACTTGAAGTTAAAATTAAAACCACTCATGCACATTTCAACTGTATCACATCTGAACAGAAGTAAAAGTCTACCTGTGACAATATTTGGTAGAGTTAAAAAGGGCTTGGACTTTTTTGTTTGTTTGCTTGTTTCAGGCAAGGACTGTTTTGTTTCAGACAATTACTGATCACACATTTTTCCATCAATGAGTAGGCTAAGAGATAAGAAAATATATTTTGTTCCTTTGAGTGAAACACACAGTTACAACATTGTTAAAAATAATAATAACATTTTTCTCATTTGTTTCTTTTCTTCAAATATATTTTCTATGCTTTATTTTTATCAACAATATTTTTGTTCATAATTCTTGGTAAATTCAAATTTTCATTCTAGCAGATTTCTTAAATGAAATTGAAGTTGTGTTATTTACCCTTTAATCTTTAGTCTTAATTCTTTTTCCCAGGGTGGCTGTGTAATCATGTGCACTTATCTTAAGAAGAAAAAAAATGCCCCCCCCCCCACCGGGCTTCTTCCAGTAATTTTAAAAGAAGTACAGGAATGTATGGTCAGTCAAAAATGAGTGAGAGGAGAATTTCAGATACAGACTGGATTAGTAAGGAAGTTTCAGTGTTATTTATTTTTTTAGACAAAATTAGTAACAATAGCATTATTTTGAAATAACTGGGCTAAGACGTTGCTTTAGTCCACCAGTTGATGTTAATATGCTCTGATATTTAATACCACCCACCCACCAACACAGTATATGTATAATTAATTTCAAATTAATATTTTCTTATGAACTTCAAACACAATTTCAAAGTCCTCAGCTTGGTTTGCCAGCAGCCAGTTTCATATGATTGGGATTACTGAATATATCAAAATCTTAAGATAGTACACTAGTCTTTCAAGGACAAGTGCTATCACCATAGTCAAATATGTGGCAAGATCTATGGGATGGGATCTCCATATAGTAAAATGGAAGCAGCATTATTCATTTTCTTCAAACTAGTGACTTGGAAAAAAATGATCTCAGAGCAATTCAGTTTAATTCAGCTAGGAAAAGGCATAATATTAGGGATTTACACATTCAGTACTTTTTATAAGGTTGAATTCATCTAATGATTGTTTCATATGTATATACAAATAATTTAAAGAAATTACTGTACATTATCACTAATTTTGTGCATAAGAATATCTAGAAATATATCTTAATCTTTTTTTTTAATCAGATCATTAGCTTGAGGGATTGTGGGAATACTACGGATGTAATGTGTCTTGATTTCAGTAAAGCATTTTGAAAAGGTCTCCCATGATATTTTGGTTAGAAAATTGGTTTAATGTAAGTTAGGGGTGAAACATATGGGCAGGAAAAAGCAGCTTGAAGGTGCCTTTTCTGAAGCCGCATTGAAATATCACCAACCACACCACCTGCCCCCAAGGCGGCTGGAGTGTGCATGTCATGACCACATGGTGTGGGTTCAAGCCGCGCCACTGGGTACTTTTTTTTTTCTTACTGTTCCCCCACCATCCCTTTGCACCTTTGCAAGAGTGAACTGCCAGCAACTGCCATCCCATTGGATGGCTGTCCCTGTGAACCTGCACACATTTACATGCACAGCACTTCACCAGGACAGGGCATCGGAATAGAGGTATGGCCATGCAGATGCCAGCAAGGTACAAGCATACTCCCCTTCACCACCTCCTTCACCTCCCCTTCACCCCATGCCCCCCCTTGACTGTCTGTTTTGTGTATGTTGCACACATGAGAGGTGTCACATTTTCTCTTTTGGGCATTGCCACCCCCACTGCTTGAGTATGGTAGCTTCGTCCCTTTTAAATGTGCTCCTGTGATGGGGCATTTATATGCACAATTAGGGTTAATATTAGGATAGAGCACTTATTTAGAGCTGCTCTGGCAGCACTGCATTTAGACATACAAGTGAAGGTGCATGTTTTTTGAGAAGTGGAAAAATGTAACTCCTTTTTAGTCAAGCTTTTCTCCCTGTAGAGTGGCTTGAGAGCAGGTTCCAGATGGCTTTGAGGCTTGTGTCATCTAAATGACCCACCTAGAAGCCAGCCGGAAACCTTATATTGACCATCTGTTTTGCCCCTTAGATACCATCAGATGGAGCAGGTTGGAAAACCAAATTCAAAGAGTACTTATTAATGACATGTCAAAAAGTGGCAGGAGATTCTTCTGAGGTGCTGTAGGCTTCCAAAATGGATTTGCCCTTCTTCAAGATTTTTTTAAAATAAAAACATTCGACAGGTTGAATTGCCTCACCACACTATCACTTTTGTTAGCCATTGAAGGGTGTCAATAGCACCTTTCTTCATGTGATAAAATTCAGGATCACATATCATGATCCAATGTGGACTAAGATATTGAATGGAAGCATTCATTATTTTAAATTGTACTTCTGTTAAATTGAACATACCATACAGTTTGGCTGTGAAGCAAAGGAAGGATGGCACGCTCCATATATTGGAAAGTATTGTGGAAACTACAGCATAACAGTAACAGAATTCTTAATAGCAGAGGATTATAATATTAATTGTTTTAAATATTATTTTGAAAATAAACACTCAGGTATCATAGTCTATTGATCCAGAGAAGTTCAAATATTATGCTTGTACAAAAAGTCTTTCCTCTTCTTCTTCCCAATTTTATCCTTCTGTGCCCATTTGTTAATGGTCACTTGTGATATTTTATATCTTTATTCCTATTTCTTTACACACACACACACATATAATGGAAGTTTGTTTGAAACACATAAGATAAAACCCAATATTAGTCTATCAAAAGCTGACCCATTGAGATGAACTGGGCTTGTTAGTCATAATAAACTTATAGATTTCAGTGGGTACACTCTAGATAGGACAAACATTAGCCTATATTATTGAACGCATACTGCATTTCAGTTCCAATCTTCACCAACAATTTGTAATAATTATTCACAGATACCCATGAGCTTTATATTTTTTCAGTGAATATTCTGATTTTCAAAATTATTTATTTCAGCAAGATCACTTTTCAAACTGATCTTCCTTATCTGAAGAAAGCTTTAAAGAATGATTCTGCTGTGAAGTATAATTTATTATAAATAAAATAAAGAAAGCCTCTTAAATAATCATGTGCACAAATTTGACAGTCGTTTTCAAAGCACATGACAGACCCTTGGAAAGGTTTAACAGAACAAGATCTGACTCATGCTTTCAAAAATTCATCACTGAATATTTGTTAACCTTGCTGTCTCTGATAGCTGTAGAACCAAGATAATAACCTTCAGATGGAGATAAATTGCTATCTTTCAAAAGATTATCCTCCATCTTAATCGAGTTTGCTGCTACAGCTGAACAGTCAGTGACCTTGTTACATATATAACAAATACAGCTACTCTTTTATGTTTATACGAGTAATATGTAGCCTACTGAGCACCCTGTCAGGGTTGTTGTTGTTGTAATTTCCATACATTTACAGATGCAACCCTATACAAACATACATGGGAGTCATTCAGGGGTAGCTGTGTTAGCCATTTAGCAAATTCAAACAAAAATCCATTGGTGATACCTTTATTGGCCAATCAAAATGCACAATATACTTGTTGCAAACTTTTGAGAGCTTAATGAGCTTCATCAGGCAAGATGTTACAAACTAAACAGGAGAAAAACAACTGGAGATGTTAGTCAAATGCCTACATGTTGTTTCAGTCTTTAGTTAAGATGGTATATGGTGGGGAGGATATCTTTTGCAGGCAGGGTCCTCCTCCTTCTGGCCATGTGGCTATGGGGAGATTTTCAAAGTCTAACAAATTTAAAATCCATTTGCATCCCAACAAGGACCTCTCTTTTGCAATCCAATATGTCTCCATTCCAGTGAGGTCACAAACCTCTTTGTGGCAGAGAACAATGGATTCCTCAAGAAGTCTCCATGGTTTTGCATCAGGAACCTGTCTGCAAAAAATATCTTCCCCACCATATACTATCTTAACTAAAGACTGAAACAACATATAGACATTTGACTAACATCTCCAATTGTTTTTCTCCTCTTTGGTTTGTAACATCTTGCATGATGAAGAAGCCCATGGAGCTTTGAAAGCTTGCAGCAAGTATATTGTACATTTTGGTTGGCCAATAAAGGTATCACTGATGGATTTTTGTTTGAATTTGCTAAATGGGCAACACAGCTGTGATGAACCACTGCTGCCACCTTGACTAATTCTCTCTTTTAGAATTTTATGTGACTT